TGAAATACTTGTTGGAGAGAAATTATTTACATTTACTTACTTTCTGCCTTAAAGAATATTCTAGCTCCATAAAAGTTAAGAACAATCTGGTTAGCTGCAGGCTTCTATGGGTAACTGGCACATGGATTGGTAAATACGCGTTGAATTAATGAATAAATGGCACATATGAGACATCTAATTAAAGCAAACGTGAACACACACAACCTTCCCAAGAGCACTTCTGGAAATAAGATTTGTCATATTTCTGTCCTCACACTGATCTATTCCCCCACCTCTTCTTCAATACCAACATCTTTGTCAAGGAAAAATTACTGAGAATGAGATTGTGCTGCTTTATTGTCATTCCTGTCACCCATCCCCAAGCAATCATCAAATATTTATCACCAATTCGTTTGAATTCAGGAGCTCTGGAAGGAAGCCTACGAAGTGGCACTCTGACAAGTTCCCAAGGTGCTCAGGGTGGCTGGTGATGTCTTAGTATCTCTGAGTACCATGCCTTCCCAGAGCCTCACCACACTGGCGCTCTGCAGATGGGATAGCGCCTACTCACTCACAGAGCTGTGTCACAGCTTCCAAAAGCCACCACAGGCCCATGCTCCATCCCTAGCCAGCAGTTGTCCTCCACCTGCTTCCTAGACAACATCTCCAGATGGTATCTCTCTGTCTCCTAATAGAGCAAGTTCTTTAAGGACAAGGACACCTGGTGCTTATTCTTTGGGAAACTAACACCTTGGCAACTCAATGATTTGACTTCTCTAGGCTTTCAGTGTCTTCATATATGAAATTACCTCTGCTGTGTGGACTAAGTGATAAGCCAACTAACTGACTGGGCAGCAATGGAAAAAAACAAGTGCTTTTTATACTTCCATGAAGAAAGTAGGTGGACCTGGGTGTGGTGGTGCACATCCAGTATAATTCCAGATACTCGGGAAGCAGAGGCAGGAGGATCTCAAGTTACAATCCAGGTTGGGCAACTTAAAAAACTTCCGTGTCTCAAAACAAAACAAAACAAAACAAAAGGCTGGAAGTGTAGCTCAGTGGTAAAACACTTGTCTAGCAGTGGAAAGCTCTTGGTTCAATAAACAGTAACACACACAGACACACACACACACACACACAGATGGGGTAAAGGCCTTAATACATCAGATCACACCTTCCTGCCCACAGGATTCACACTTCTACATGGAAAGTCAGATGACCCTGGCCTTCACAGGTCTCAGCAGAGCTGCGCAATCCAACCAGGTGATGCTTTTCTGAACCCCGGCAGGTGACCCAACATCTGGAAGTTCGCGTTTTCTATAAGAACAGCATTATCGCTGAGGAACTGTACTCCTGACTTTCTGCAAGGAAAGGACAACGATGCTGAAAGGCCTATCCAGAATAAGCAAGGTCACAGGGACTGACACACAGTACATGGCGATCTCTGGAACTTTTTTTGTACCAGGGATCAAACTCAGGACTTTGTGCTTGTGAGGCAGGCGCAGCACCACTGAGCTAAATCCCCCGCTTTCTCTATGATTATTCTATAGAACGAAATCAGCTACATGCCTTCAATCACAGAAGTGGCCCCAAAGAGGGAGCACACAGAATAAAACAGGAACATGGCTACAGAATCCTACAGGGAGCTTCAGATGGTCCCAGTGAAAGAGATTGGCAACAGAAAATGAGATGGTAACATGCCCTCTCTCTCGGTGCTTTTCTGGATGGTGGTATTGAAACAGGAAGGAGGATTCACCTCCAAAGCCTCTGTAGGTGTCAGATCTAGGGTATGTGGGTGACAAAGCTGATGATGATGCTATTTCTCATGAAAAATGATTCTGAGAAAGAACATCAAGCAAAGCATTCCCCCTTTCTTCATCCAGCCTCTATTTTAACTTTAGCTAAGCCTGTGACTGAGTTTTTGCAGTGCTGGGCCCATCTCTGTGCAGACAGAATCAATCAAGTCCTAACTTGCTGACAGCCACAGAAACACAACATTAGAAAACATAAAAGCAGTGATGGCCCTTGGGAAGCCCTTGTGAGAGCTTCATAGAATTTCTCACCCACAAAAAGGAGGAAAACATCTTCATAACATGGAAACAGAAGTGGAGAGCACGGTCTGAGTGTGGTATGCATTCTACAGTGAGGTCATTGCTGGCTGAACCTGGAAGGCAGGGCTCGGCTGCATGGTGGGGTTCTTAAGGCAAACCCAGCCCCTACAACTACGCTTTGCCACAGGCATCCCCAAATGCCCTCCTCAACTCTCTCATTTCCTAAGAGGACAGTTATAAAAGCTCTCCAGGGAAAACGGAAGCAGCCTTGTTTTGGGAAGCCGGCTCACTAATGTCTTCCACACCCGAACAAGTGCTGCACATCTCCCTACCCCTCCCGACTCCTAGGTCTCTATCCCAGAGATAGGCATGGACGTGGGCACAGCAGGAGAGATAGGCTGGTTCCTTGGTGGTTGGCAAAAAGCTAAGACCCAAACATTTACCAGTGGGGAGACACTAAGTGAATTACTGTGCATCGGTGCTATGGGATTCATGGTGCACTGGAAACGCATGAACTAGTGTGGGAAAAATCCAAAAGTCATATTTATTGAGATTTCTTTTAAAAGCAAACTATAAAAGAATATGTCCTGTTTTATTCCATTTCTGTACAAACAGAAAGCACATAACCAAAACTACATGTATGTGTAATAAACTGCATAAAGTCTGGGAAAGGTACAATGGGCTGATAACAATTGCTATTTTTGAGCAAGATAGGTTTTCTGTAGACTTGGAAGGACTTTATTTTCTCTTTCCTGTTTAAATGTTTTAGTATGATATGTATTAATGTAGTGCTTATCTAATTGAAGTTAAAATTCAACATAATTAAGTTAAGAAAGGAAAAGAGGGAGAGAGGTCAGAAAACAAAAGTCCCAACAATGATGGGAAGGGGCCAGCTCTTGGGATGAAGTCCTCCAGGCCCATTTATCTTCATGATTGAGAAAGACTTGACAAGCCTTGCCCAACATGTCAGCATTGAGGTTAGATCTTCTTAGGAATAATGGGCAACTTTGCTTTATTTCCTATGTCATTATTTAATGACGGGAAATTTTCAAATAGAAAGAGAGCAAAAGTCAGAGAAAAACAATGGCCTCCCAGCCACAAAGAGCAACAAGAGTCCTTCCCTTAAAAGACAATGGGGACAGATTGCTCCTACCAGCCTCTCAAGGAGGTTTTCATCCCTCATCAGGAAAGATGACCTCACTCTTCCACTCCTTCCTATATCTTGGAACAGGGTGCTTCTGGCCTCCAACTGCATGGAGGTCTCAGAGGAGGCTGGAAAATGTGCAGGCAGGGAACCAGGTCACCTAGGACTGTTCCCATCTGTATCACTTACAAGCTCCGTGTCACTAAGCCTCTCAGTGCATGGAATAGAGCTTTTAGATAGTCCCTTCCACTTTACAGTGTGAGCATGCAGAGCCGAGGTTGCAGTAAGCCCCCCTTGGTAATGCTGACCACAATGGCTGCCATTTTGACAAGAGGGATGATGGTCTTGGTGACTATCACTATGAGTGGGCAATGCCCAGGAATCTGAATTTCACAGCTGATTCTTTAGGGACAGGGGTTTGTAGATGAAAAAATTATAGGAGCCTCCTTAGGTCTTCTACCTAATCCTGACTAGAAAGAGTTAAAAAGCAAACTTTACTAAAGACATTCCCCTGGAAAGCAAGTCAAAGCCAAGGGGAGAAAAATCAGGTAAAGAAAGGCACCAAATGGCCTGGGGACTTCCTTCAAGAGACCAGACAAAGACCTACCAGGCAAGACACAGAAAGAAAAGCAGATAAGCTGCTCCCACCTCCAGTGAAATATAGGAAAAACAAGGGGCAATGGCTGACTAACTTTAAGGCAGTATGTACTCACACCTGTGCACAAACATACATATACATACACAAGCACACACATATATATACACATATATACATGTGTATTCACTCTAGGGTCACTATATTTTTCACTCTAGGGTCATGGAGTGCAATAGATAAATACACACCCCCTTACTAATTCTATCCATGAGTAAGGCACTCCCTTGCCATCCACCCCGAAGGTAAGGCCTTAAACGGTAGGTAAGGACAAGTGAAAAGGCAGAAAGAAGCTGCACACAGGCCACCAGAAGAAATGACGTTGAGCAGAGTTGCCTAGAAGCCAATCTTGTTATGGCAAGTTCCCTGTGGAGGGGAAGAGCCACTCACACCCCTCTAAAATTAGCTAAGAACAAAGGGTTCCCGTGACCTCCATCTTTCTGGAGCCCTGTACCCTAATTCTTTCTTAACAGAGTAATTATCTCTCTTCTCCTTTCTCTTTCTTCCTTTTCCTCTTCACAAATAAAGTGTCTTCCTTTTGTTAAACTTTGTCCGTCTAATTTTTTACTGGGGCTGAGTTATAATCCCAGCAGACAACAGAGAGAGCAACAGTGCTCATCCCCCAGATGCAACAACTCTATCGCCAATTTTGATAAACACTACTTACAGCCATGACTCCCTTCGGTAAAGGAAAGTCAAACAGCAAGACACAACCCTCAAGCGCTGTGCAAAGCAAGCAAGGCAGGGTGAGGAGGTTTCAGAGTTGCTTCAAAGACAAGCAGAACTTAGATTTAACTTGGAAGGGAAGAAAATATTTAGCAGGAGACGAAATGCTAACATTTGGATTTACAGATTCCTCTGGCAGAGGAGGGCAGTGTGAATTGGAGCCTGGGCAAGCCAAGTGTTGAAGATTGCTGGTAAAGACACTCACGTGTGTGTGTACACCTGCACATAGGCTCCACGTTCACATCTTGTCTCGGACTGTGAACAACTCACCCCAAAAATAAACGAAATACACAGGCCCTCTCTCTACCTCCTTCCTTTCCCACCAGCCATGGACATGGCACACACATGTGTACACAAACATGCACATACATACACATCCATCCAGGAGTGGAGTGAAAAGAAAGGCAAGCAGAGTGGGAGGTCAAGGCCATGCTAGGACAGAACCCACCTTTGCAGCTCTCACAGCAGGTGCCCTTCTGCTTGATGGCCAGGGCACAGTCGCGTGGCAGCACCAGGCACTTCTCCCGCTTGCAAGTCACTTCCTTGTTCTAGGAAAGAAGAGACAGGAGACACAGGAAATCAGCATCTGAATCCCCAGGACCCTGACCAGTGCTGAGTTCTCCTTTTCCTATCTTCCCTTCATCTTGGCAGAGGAGCACAGTGATGACACATAGAAGCTTCTCCTCTCTCAAACAGAAATATCCGCCAGGAACACAGAACTCAGGGAGAGCACGGGACGTTTAGAGATGAGAGGAGATGTACCCTAGGCTAGCCTCGAATTTATGGCACTCCTTCTGCCTCAGCCTGTCACGTGCTGGGATTATAGGTATGTGCCACCATACTTAGCCAGCAAATACTATCATTCTCATTTTACAAATGAGAAAACCACAGCTCAGAGCAAGTAGCTGACCCATTCAATTAGACACAGCTGCAAAGTGGCAGAGGTGAAATTCAGACTGAAATCACGAGCACACACCTCCAGTAGGGGGTCAGGTGGCCCTGCTACCATCCTCAGCTGATATGGGGGCAGTGGGAGAGGGTAGCTGACCAGCTCTGCCACCGCGGGATGACCTAGACCAATGGTGGCAAACCTATGGTATGCATGCTGCAGTAGGCACAGAGAACCCTCTCTGTTGGCATGAGAGCCAAGTCTCCCCAGAAGCTGAGCATTGGATAACACTGTTTTTTCTGAACCAAAACCTCAGTATTCAGGTTTGATTGTAGTGTTGGGCCTTTGTGATAAATAAGTAGGTTTGGGGTTGCAGTTTGTGTACTCCCTAAAAGGTTCACCATCCCTGACCTAGACCCTTCCCTGATATGTAGGAGACACTACCTGTACCCTGACAGGGACCCTGGGAAGATTTGTGAGTCTCCTAGCACATTTAAACATCATGACCAAGGAAAATCTCACGTCTATGGTACAGAACCACAGAGATGTGTGCATCTTAGTAGGGTGAGGGTGTGTGTGTGCATGCGTGCTATGAGCATGTGTGCGTGTGTGTGCGTGTGTGTGTGTGTGTGTGTGTCTCGGAAGCTGGGAACCTAAGTCCAGCCTTATGCAAAGCTCAGCCCGAGGCTACTGTAAGATAGCCCTCATCATCCTCTGGGTTTCCCTCAAACGGGCTCCTGTGGTCTGATGCTACATTAACCCTGATGCCATCCCAGGCCATGACTGTGACCTCCAGGACCCCAAAATCCCTCCACCCCCAGCTCACAGGTTCCAGCTCCCGCTGCGATTCTCAGGGGCATGGAGAGAGCTGGGCCTTCCACTTCTCAGTCTCTGCCTCTCAGGCCTTTCAGTCCCCTGTCTGCAAGGCTTTGCAAGGCTACCCAGCATCACAGGACCTGCCCAGCAACCCAGGGAGAGTATGTCAGTGTGGCCACCCGGACCCTGATCGCCTGGACCCTAGTAGGGCTCTTGGTTGCTAACCTTGTGGTTTCAGTCACTGGTTATGGGTTAGGGTTAGGATTAGGGATGGGTTGGTGGGGTGGTCTAAGTAATCCCGTTTCCCCCTTCCTCTTGTTTTTCTGGTGTCTGTTCTGTGGTTGGCATCCTCATGGCCTGATCTTTTTTACTCTGTGGCTCCTGGGAAAGAACCCTCATTCTCTCTGCAGATTACCACCCTCCTGTGGGTCCCTCACAGAGGCAGGGGCTGCTCCCACCCGGGAACCTGGGTCTGATTCCTCTAAGGACGCATCACTAGTGTGTGTCAGGAGCAGGGGTTTCCCCTGTGCTGCCAGGGCTGAGAGCCACTGTGGTAGGGGAAGTGTGCTTGTCCCCAGGATGGTTCGGTGAGTGAAAGAGCTCCCTGCTGTGCCTCTGTGAGTGGCAGATGAACCTGCCTTCTGCCTCTGGGGTTCCCTCCCCCCGTCCATTTCCAGCACCACAATGGTATGGAGGCTAAGTCACAGCCCACAGATTTACTTTTACAACTTTCCTTACATTACAAACATAACATATACACAATTCAAATTTAGGCAAAAATTAAAATTTTTGTCTAAAAATTTAAAATATCATCCACTTTACTCTCACCAAAAGCCATCAGCCATAACCACCAGTTATATGTGCCGCTCACCATTCTTAACCATGACTGGGATTTGCCACTTGTTTCTTTGGTCAGCTGCATCCTGATGCCCATTTCCCACTCTGGGATGACAGAGACATGAAGCTCTATGACTTTATGCAGTCACCAACCTGGGCAGAGCCACTGTACGTGCATCCCCTCCCTCCTGCAGGAACGGGTGCTGAGACCTGGGTAGCTCAGAGCCCCTGGGCAGTCAGAGGGGTATGAAGTCACAACTGGGAACCAATAAATAGGAAGGCATGGAGTCTCAATATAGGAACTGGTGGCTAAGTTAGAAAGCTGGGGGCTAATCAGAACCCATAACAAGATTCCAAGATTCATAATAAATGGCTTGTAATTACAGTCCAGCCCAAAAGCTATTCCAAACAGATGGTCTACAGACTCACATCTGGAATTTGTTTTACACACACACGTGCACACACACACACACACACGTGCACTACTTGACTGTGAGTTTAGTGGAGTCTTCCCCTTTCTGATTACACTTGGAGTTTTCACATAGTCTATCAAGGGTCATGCTGGTGTGTAACTGCCATACCCGATTACTCCTCTGGTGTCTGACTAACAGGTATATGAAGGTCTGCTCTGAATCTGAGACCCTCAAAGAAAAATAAACAAAAATAAAAGCTCCAGATAATCTCTGTGAGAGGCTCATTCCCTCATCAACTTAACTGCATGCAGCAGCTTCAGGGTAAATTCAAGCACAGGTTAATCAAGGCCAAGCATGTTGCTTCCTCATTATGCCAGGAATCAAGCACACTCATCCTGAGCCTGGGGCTTTGGAGGGCAGTGTAACAAGCAGGCAGTGGCTCCAGGAGTCCATCATCCCCAGCTACCTCATCCTCCAGCAGCAACTCCCATCACTGTGGCTCACAGCTGTGGCTCATCCAGTTCACATTTTCATTCAAGAAACATTCTCTGAAGCCAGCACATGCCTGTTACCCCAGCTCTCCGGGAGGCTGAGGCAGGAAGACAGCACACTTGAGCCCAGCTTGAGCTACTTAGTAAGACTCTGTCCCCAAATTTAAAAATAAAGGCTGGAGGTGTAGTTTAGTTTGAAGAACCTGCGCTAATCCCAGTACTATGAAAAGAAAGAAAGACCGGTTCACACACTGTCCTCTTTCTATGGTGTGTCCAGACTGTGTGCTACAAATCTTAGCCACACACTGCCACCAAAACTTTCTCATCATCCCCAATTCACAGATGAGTATGCAAATTTAGTAAACTTGCCCAGGAGTCACAAGAGAGGTGGTCTAGAATACAGCAGGGTACAGCATTTCCTCACAATCCTAGAACTCCCAGGTATTCGAGGTGCAGATGAGAATAGATCAGTGCCCCTACCCCTGGAGCTGTGCCCCTACCCCTGGAGCTGTGCCTTCCTGGAAAATGACTGTAACAGAGGGCAGATGATACAGGGATGATATAGGAGATGAAATAGAACTTCCAAAAGATATAAGGAAAATATTATAATCTCAATCTGTCAGATATCTGATATGCTCAGTTCATGCTCTCTAAAATCAAGAGTAGGAAATGCTTATTGAGAGGAAACCTCCTGAGAGGCAGGAGGGGTCTCGAATGTGTTGCCCAGGACTCTATAAAGTTTCAGGGGAAGTTTTATAGGCCAGAAGCCACGTGGGTACAACATAGGTTAAAGCTATCATCAACCAGTAAGGTTACAAGTATCGTCACTTAGTGACCCAATGGGGGGAACAAGTCACGTAACAAGTGTACATGGAAAGAACGAAGACCTTTTCTAGGAAACAATGGATCTGGAGGTCTTGGTCACCCATTGTGGTTACTGTTGTTTATCTAGACTTCTATGTGGGCCAAGTGTTATCACTTATCTTGTCCTTTGAGGATGTGTGCAGGCCTGGTCATTACATCTTTATCTTGAGGCCTGGTCTCCAACAGATGCGTTTCTGGCCATGGTTGTAATGTGTTTTCGTCTTTTGCACTGATGGCCAGCCCTACCTGACTGCCTATAATACTTCTACTTAGCTTAGCTGTCTATAATACCCTGGGACCACAATGTCCCCCACCACAGTCTGCAGACACCTGCTGTGTTCTGGTAAGAGGAAAGTGGCTTTGCCCTGGGTATGGCAGTGAGGTGCACATTACACCTCTGAAAGCCAGGCTGTCATCCTCTACCAGTCTTCAGTTCTCACTGGCGATGGAGGCCTCCCAGTTCTAAGCAAACAGAAATGATGGCAAAAAGCTCACTCAAGGAAAAGATGAGAACACTGACAACCTAGCCCAGCCAGTCAGCAGGACAGCACATCTTGCACTTCCCAGCCTCACTTCTGCCTGGTCTGTGAGTCTCCCGGGTTGGCCTGTGGCCAAAGGTGTCCATCCGCACTATGCCTTCCTTCTGAGGGAGGGGCCCTGGACCTTCCAGAGCTGGCCATGTATGTCACACCTGACGCAGTCTCAGGGCACCTTCAATGAAGTGCCAACATATACGAGTGAAAGGGATGCGGGGAGAACAAAACAGAAATCGACATGCCCGGCAACAAGGCCCATCAGGATGTGACCCAAACTGCAGCCCCAGTCACAGATGAGATGGCCAAGTTCAAGGGGATTCCGCAGCCACATGCTGGCCCCGAGACTGTCACCAGGTGGCAGCACAGAGAGCCCTGGTACAGAGATTGCAGCTGAGTCTGGAGCAGACCTGGGAGCATTTCCAGTCTGTTCTGGATGCCAGACCCTGTCCAGTGAAAGAGGTCAGAAGGCAGGAAAGCGCGGTCTTCCGATGTCCCTGTGTGACTTCCTCCACCAGGGGGAAAGAATAACCTTGAGAGACTTTGGTTAACATGCCTTGCCAATGTCTTAAAATAATTTTTTCACAGATTCTGCCCAAAGCAATGCTATTGTAGACAATGGAAATTATTGCCTGGCCTTTCATTCATGTTAGAAAAAGTAATAAAAACTTGGAGACAAAGACACAGGAGCTACCAGGATGAGAG